GACGTATCTAGTTTTCAGCTCATGAGTCGACTCATGTCTGTTCATGAGTCGACTCACGAAACCGAGCCTAGTTTGCAAATCGGCTCTGACCAATTGACTCATCATTTCATGTGTCAACTCATGTGCTATGAGTCGACTCATGTGCAGGTTTGAGTCGACTTAAGAAATCAAGCCCTGTTAGCAAAACAGCTCTATCCAGTCGACTCATCAGTTGTGAGTCAACTCATATGAGGTCATGAGTCGACTCATATGTGATCATGAGTCGACTCATCAGGGTTTTTCAGATTCGTTAAGGACTCTGTTTACGTGTTTTTCTGTTTAGGTTTGGCTTGGTTATTTACCACTTTGTCACCCTCGTTTGTACACCTATATAAGGGATTGTTTTATGGTTTAAAACAATCAGAAAATACAACCAAGAGAGATTAGATTGTAATTGAGATTTGGAGAGCTTGTTCTTCAATTCTAGAGAGAGATTGTAAATTGCATACTCATAATCTAGAAAAGGTATTTTCCTTCGCCAAAACCTGAGTTATTCTCGTGTTCTTACTATTTTCTCTTCAACACACTTTTGTTAATTCCTCGATCAAAGGTGCTCACACGGCGACTCGTATCAAGATATATGTGGGTCCTCTAGGACACCATTCTTGTCATTTGATTAAGTATTTTGAGGTGAGCAAGCAAGAAAATTTTCTTATGTATTAAGAAAATCACTTGTATTATAATTGACTAAACATTTTGATTTTGCCATTTCTTTAGGAAGTTCAAGGAGTCAGCAAGATAAAAGATGGATATAATCCTGCAACATGGATGTTGGAAGCTACCACATTAGCTCAAGAAAAATTACTTAATATCAATTTTACTGATGTATACAAGACCTCTTTGTTGTTTGAGTGAGTAAAACGTTCAATCATCGAACTCTCCGTATATGCTTCTACGATTTCTCAAACCATTACTTGAAATTTTTATCACAGGAGGAACAAAGAATTGATTAAAGAACTCAGCTCTCCTGCACCCGGTTCAAGAGATTTATTGCTCCCTACCCAATACTCGCAGTCTTTTTACACACAATGCTTCGCTTGCCTATGGAAACAAAACTTATCATATTGGAGGAATCCTCCATATGTTGCAGTGAGATTTTTCTTCACATTTGTCATAGCTTTGCTATTTGGAACAATATTTTGGGATCTTGGAACCAAAAGGTATGCTATACACTTAGTTTATGTTGTACTAAAACTTCTCAATATCTCCATGGGTTAAGCGTGCATCCACCCCGCTGTGTATCACCCAATTGTTGGTAGACCCCCTGAATGTAATTTTTTGGAATCTTTTACCTTTAGAGAGAGAAAAAATTGTTTTTTGACAAATAGACCTCTGAAAGGTAAAAGAGTCACAAAAATTACTAGTGGGTACAAAGGTACTATTCTCTATTGGGTGATAGTACAGGGGTCTATGCGCAATTATTCCCTAATCCTATATATGCTGACAAAACTTTTCTATTCAGGAATAGGTACCAATATTTGTTCAATGCAATGGGATCCATGTATGCCTCTGTTCTTTTCATCGGGGTTAAAAATGCATCATCTGTACAACCCGTCGTTTCTGTAGAAAGGACCGTATTTTACAGAGAGAGAGCAGCCGGAATGTATTCAGCTTTTCCATACTCGTTTGCACAAGTAGTTATCTTAACAGATAAAATTTTCTTATTTCTATAGAGCTTCTACATTTTTGGCATTTAATACATATTACATTCTTTCTTGCAGATTGCGATCGAGCTTCCATATGTCTTTGTTCAGGCTTTGATGTATGGTGTTATAGTATATGCAATGATTGGATTTGAATGGACAGTTGCCAAATTCTTTTGGTATCTGTTCTTCATGTATTTTACGCTGTTATACTTCACATTTTACGGAATGATGGCAATAGGCTTGACGCCTAACCAGAGCATCTCGTCAATAGTTTCCTCATCGCTTTATTCATTGTGGAATCTATTCTCTGGATTTATTATGCCTCAAACGATAAGTTTTGACTCCTAAACCTATTATTTATACTCAGACATTTTTCTCAAAACTTCCCTGATTTTATTCAAGCTATAAACAATTGTGTGATCTTAGCCTACATTACTTGAAAAAAAGTTTTAATTACTTGAAAAATAACAAAACATTTACTAAAGATAGTTATATTATTTTTTCTTCTTGAGCACGTATAGAAGCGTGTACTTGTGCATACATGTGTGCCTGCATGTTGCATCTGTTTTTATGTTGGTGTATGTTCTTGTATGCATATGGAGTATTTTCTGTATGTACCTATTGTTGGCCTTCTTGTTTTGATGATGTTTAACAAACAATTTACTACTAATGTTGTTTGTCTAGTGTT